CCAAGTTTAGTTAGTTTGAAAATATATTATACCCTCAACAGACGTCGATATAGTTTTTCCACACACCTCCTTCATCACTCGTCCAATAAAAAAACAACATATCACAATAAACCCCCAACCAAACAGCTTCGTTGAGCGTTTATAAATTCTGACTTATGCCAAAGACAACATCGCTTTTGTTTACTTCATTTCGAGATGATAATCAGTTTCTAAACCATCAATAAAATCAGACCCATTCGGATATTAACGTTTTGTCACGACGGACTACAGAAATGAATTCAATGTATAGTCTACTCTACTATCGTATTCGTATCCAGATATTTATTGATAAATACAAGAACGCAATAACGATAAAAGAAATGATTTTTTTTGACAAATCTTGTTTTACCGCATATGTCGGACAGTGTGCCGTGACGTCACAGCGAGCCCAAAGTTCTACTATCGACGCATCAGAGAGATTTACGTGAACCGCGGTCTGAAGTCGGATGTTTTAAGGCTGCACGCTCAGCGACTGCAAATGGGCCGTGTTGGACAGTTTTCGACTTTATCGCTGGATGTCTTTTTGATGGCGTCAACAAGTACTTTGAGTTACATTTGCACTAGTTTAAATTCTCAATAACAACTTTAAATGTAAACAAGCAGCTTCAATGATACAAGTACTAATTACATGTTTAACAAGACCGGTAGTCTTTAACGTAGCCATATACATTCCGATGATACTTATGAATACGTAACCTGTTCCAATATGGCTTTCCTTGTCTGGCGTGAAATCTTTGGAAACAATGGCGACCTAAGATAAGTATAATCGGCTACACACCTGTTGTTTATTCTGGAGCACGAACTGTTAGGGGACCGTGTTACCGTGGACAGCGATTAATTCGATTACACGAAATATACATCGATCTTTCTATTTAATATGTAGACAGATGATCACATGTAGACACCGACCTACATTTTATTTCATTCATAAAGACAGTTTGGATTTTGAAAATCTAAGATGTGTTACAATTGAGAATGTGATAATATAAATATATAATATATTTCTCGGTAGCCTGAATACATGTCGTATCGAATAGTCGTGTGAAGTACAAACATGTTATTTAACTCATTCGCCCCTGAAGACACATTTGAACTCCTCCAATTCAAAGGTTGGAATAGTTCATTATGACATTTCAGGGGTGAATGAGTTAAAACAACAGCTTGTATGATAGTTACTATCATGAACATAAGCGTTATGCCGAGAGAAATGACGATTGACAAATAGGCAAAATGACAATGATTACCGCTGTTTCTCAGTGAAATAACGATATTTTGCGATTCAATGTTTTTGTTCTCTTGTTTATTGTTACGTTATGATAAATATACACCACCTTGATGGTATAGAAGAGAAATTTCATACCCTGAGATGAACGTTTTTAAATGTATACCACCCCGAGCATTGCTTCAAGCCGAAGGGTTAGATTTAAGAATCTCATTCTAGGGATGAGCTAGATTTCTCTGAAATACTGTAGGGAATGACCCATTTCTCCTTATTATCAGCATTGGAAATGTTTTTTTCCTGATTTGATTGTGACGTCATATTTTATTGCTCCGTCGACGTCATCTTAATGATACATTCCGTTGTGTTATGATTTCACATCATTGTAACGTAGTACTAAGGATAGGGAAGATCGCCAAACCATCTTCAGAGAGATTTGCGTCCACTTTTCCCTCGCCGATAATTCTGAAGTACGTGCACTGTGGTGTCCATTCTTCATTAGAGATCGCATCGTACCAGTGAGTTAATACGTCACAGTGTGCTAGTCTAGGGCGTATATGTTGAAGCGGAGACATACCGGATGTGATAAAACTTCCGGTTCAATAGGACGCGGAAAGACCATGTCATCGGAAAGTGAAAATGATGTAAATTTCCCTGCCTTTTCTCTGTAACATGTGATAAGAAAAGTTGGTTCATATATTTATTGAAATTCCCAGACCCCATGACAAACTCCTCTTTCGCTCCTCCCACACGTGTAAATAACTGAGTACGGATCGTGTATACTCCCATGGAAAGCACAAGTCAAAAATACACTATTATAACTTGTCTAATTACTTTAAGAGTTGAGTAATATTGGAAAACATAAATAATTTACTTTGAAACAGCGTTCCCAGTCATATTAGTGCGTGGTAGGTGTAGATTTTACATGTAATTGTCATTCTCCTGTACAACATTTACTTTGAATTATGATTATCGTGCTCTATGCCTTGCATGATCACCGGATGAACGACTCCCAGAAACTCGGTGAAAGTAGCAAACCGTATATCATATTAACACTCTAACCCAACTATAATTGAAGTACGTATCATGACGTCAGACCATGTGTTTCAATGTGTCATGCACGCGTATGTGTACTGTCACGACCACGTGGAAAGATTGGTTTTTATAAATAGAAAATCACACAGAAAATCCTCGTCATTGTGATAAATAGTATTTTATATTCACGTAGTAACTCTAAAGATATATCATTCAAGGAACTTCGAACATGATATAATTATTGCCTCAGACGCAACAATGTTTCAGGTCACCTTTAGACACAAAACTACCGAACTGTGGCCCTTTGCGGATATACCTCAAACATGTTAGTCTTGAGAAAGTTATAGCATCCCTGTTTATTTCTTAGGACTCTTTCTTATATTTTTAACATATATCCTTGAGGCATCAAGTTTAAATTACTGAGTAAAAGTGTTAATTTGGACATACTCCTAACAGTTCACTGTTTCATCCGACTTGGTTTGTTAGAATTCCAATTTATGCTTTCAAAAATATTTGCAATTAAATTCTTATATACTTTAAGGGACATTATCACGAGTATGTCAACATTTTTAGTGTGTTTCCTGGTTATTTATATAGTGAAGAAGTACTATTTCAGATTCCCTATACATGTATATTTATTCTATGTTGACCGTTTTGGCATTTGAAAATTCTGTCAATAACCGTTTCATAAACAGATCGCAATAATGCATCATTTAGCGTATCATGTCAATCAAGCGAAGCCTCGGCGACATGCTTGCGATCAGAGCATGCTGTATCGCTATCATAGTACTCGGTAATTGGACCAATTATTAATTTTTCAAAATATATACTTCTTTGAGATCGTTTTGATATGAACATTTTCAAAACAAAACAAAGATGTATCAGAGAAAAATAGAACTATCACCAGGTTTCGTTTCAACAATGACCATTCCGCGCGTTCTCTACATACTGACCAGTGGTCTAATTGCCTTGTTAACATACCGCGTGCTTCGCAGGCGGTGACATAAATAGCTGGAACAGGCCATATCTCTTCACCACAAACATCATTGAATTAAACGAAATGACTATTTAAGATAGACAGGAATGTGACATGGTCACCTAAACAACTCTTTACTAGTAGAAGTATATAATAAGATGTCACCAAGATACAGGACATGGAAGCACACAACCAACGCACAGGGCGAAAATACCTACCCATCCCAAGGTATGTACCTGTTTACATGGCCGTAGGAATACCTCACCTGTCCCTCTCCGGGGGGGAGTATTCAGTACAGGGTCATAAACATCACTATTATACAAATTATGAACCGTAATATCAAACATACCGATAGCCGGATTCTGCAACGTCATCATCCAAACAAAAACAGTTGTGATAGAAATCGATCGGAGTTTGTTGTGATCGCGACTGTAAATATTGATCGTATACAGTCCAGTTGGTGTGGCACATTGTACAGACCGTGTACATTAACCATCACAGTGCCGGATTACAATGTCTACCACTCGGGGTCAGTAGTTTTTAAGTCAATGAGAGGAACATTCGTTAGGGAAAGCAAAAACAGGTCAGTGAGTGGTTTTTTTTTATTGTAAACAAATAAAAACCTTAATAAGCTAAATCAAGTACTCGTTCGATAAAACGAGAAAAATCATCTGTGTTTCATAATTGATACAAGACAAAATTATTTCAATACCTATTAGATATACCCTTAACATTAACCGATCCTTCCAACTCGACAAATATAGAAATGGCATATATCAAAAAGACCTATAGAGTACAAAACACAAGAAAACTTTACCATCAAACCACTAGATCTACAAAATACGAGCCGTCAAACAACCAAACCTACGGACTGAGGAACCTCAACCCACTCAAACCACAACACCTACAAACAGACAGAAATAAATCAAAGAGTACAAAACCTACCAACAAATTGGCGAACCATCAAACCACAAAACAAACTGATGAACCATTAAATCACAAAACCCAGAAAAACAAGAACCACTAAACCACTAACTTTAAACATACCGGCTGATAAACCATCAAACCCCAAAACAAGCAACCACCAAATCACAGAACAACTCATCAAACCGAAACTAACCTACAAACACCATCAAACCACAAAAACTACAGACAGACGAACAATCAGAAGACACGGACAAACCATCAACACCTATAGACCGACGAACAATCAAATCAAACGGACAAAACATCACAAACTACAGACAAACGAACAATCAAATATCACGGACAAACAACAAAAACTACAGACAGACGAACAATCAGAAGACACGGACAAACAACAAAAACACCTATAGACAGACGAACAATCAAATCAAACGGACAAAACATCACAAACTACAGACAGACGAACAATGAAATCTCACGGACAAACAACAAAAACTACAGACAGACGAACAATGAAATCTCACGGAGAAACAACAAAAACTACAGACAGACGAACAATCAGAAGACACGGACAAACCATCAACACCTATAGAAACTACAGACAGACGAACAATCAAATCTCTCGGACAAAACATCAACACCTACAGAAACTACAGACAGACGAACAATCAAATCTCTCGGACAAACCATAAATACCTACAGACAGACCAACAATCAAATCGCACGGACAAAACATCACAAACTACAGACAAACGAACAATCAAATCTCACGTACAAACAACAAAAACTACAGACAGACGAACAATGAAATCTCACGGACAAACAACAAAAGCTACAGACAGACGAACAATCAAAGCACACGGACAACCACCGACACCTACAGACAGACGAACAATCAAATCAAACGGACAAAACATCACAAACAACAAACAAACGAACAATCAAATATCACGGACAAACAACAAAAACTACAGACAGACGAACAATCAAAGCACACGGACAAAACATCAACACCTACAGACAGACGAACAATCAAAGCACACGGAAAACCATCAACACCTACAGACAGACGAACAATCAAAGCACACGGACAAAACATCAACACCTACAGACAGACGAACAATCAAATCAAACGGACAAAACATCACAAACAACAGACAAACGAACAATCAAATATCACGGACAAACAACAAAAACTACAGACAGACCAACAATCAGAAGACACGGACAAAAAAAACAACAACTACAGACAGACGAACAATCAAAGCACACGGAAAACCATCAACACCTACAGACAGACGAACAATCAAATCAAATGGGCAAAACATCACAAACAACAGACAAACGAACAATCAAATATCACGGACAAACAACAAAAACTACAGACAGACCAACAATCAGAAGACACGGACAAAAAAAACAACAACTACAGACAGACGAACAATCAAATCTCACGGACAAACCATCAACACCTACAGACAAACGCACAATCAAATCTCACAGACAAACCATAAACACCTACAGACAGACGAACAATCAAATCTCACGGACAAACCATCAACACCTACAGACAGAGGAACAATCAAATCTCACGGACAAACAAAAAAACCTATAGACAGACGAACAATCAAAGCACACGGACAAACCATCAAAACCTACAGACAGACGAAAAATCAAAGCACATGGACAAACCACAAAAACTACAGACAGACGAACAATCAAAGCACACGGACAAACCATGAAAACCTACAGACAGACGAACAATCAAATCACACGGACAAACCACAAAACCTACAGACAGACGAACAATCAAATCTCAAGGACAAAACATCAACATCTACAGACAGACGAACAATCAAAGCACACGGACAAACCATCAAAACCTACAGACAGACGAACAATCAAAGCACACGGACAAACATTAAAATATCACGGACAAACCATCAAAACCTACAGACAGACGAACAATCAAAGCACACGGACAAACCATCACAAACTACAGACAAACGAACAATCAAATCTCACGGACAAACAACAAAAACTACAGACAGACGAACAATGAAATCTCACGGAGAAACAACAAAAACTACAGACAGACGAACAATCAGAAGACACGGACAAACCATCAACACCTATAGAAACTACAGACAGACGAACAATCAAATCTCTCGGACAAAACATCAACACCTACAGAAACTACAGACAGACGAACAATCAAATCTCTCGGACAAACCATAAATACCTACAGACAGACCAACAATCAAATCGCACGGACAAAACATCACAAACTACAGACAAACGAACAATCAAATCTCACGGACAAACAACAAAAACTACAGACAGACGAACAATGAAATCTCACGGACAAACAACAAAAACTACAGACAAACGAACAATGAAATCTCACGGACAAACAACAAAAACTACAGACAGACGAACAATGAAATCTCACGGACAAACAACAAAAACTACAGACAGACGAACAATCAAAGCACACGGAAAACCATCGACACCTACAGACAGACGAACAATCAAATCAAACGGACAAAACATCACAAACAACAGACAAACGAACAATCAAATATCACGGACAAACAACAAAAACTACAGACAGACGAACAATCAAAGCACACGGAAAACCATCAACACCTACAGACAGACGAACAATCAAATCAAACGGACAAAACATCACAAACAACAGACAAACGAACAATCAAATATCACGGACAAACAACAAAAACTACAGACAGACGAACAATCAAAGCACACGGAAAACCATCAACACCTACAGACAGACGAACAATCAAATCAAACGGACAAAACATCACAAACAACAGACAAACGAACAATCAAATATCACGGACAAACAACAAAAACTACAGACAGACGAACAATCAAAGCACACGGAAAACCATCAACACCTACAGACAGACGAACAATCAAATCAAACGGACAAAACATCACAAACAACAGACAAACGAACAATCAAATATCACGGACAAACAACAAAAACTACAGACAGACGAACAATCAAAGCACACGGAAAACCATCAACACCTACAGACAGACGAACAATCAAATCAAACGGACAAAACATCACAAACAACAGACAAACGAACAATCAAATATCACGGACAAACAACAAAAACTACAGACAGACGAACAATCAAAGCACACGGAAAACCATCAACACCTACAGACAGACGAACAATCAAAGCACACGGAAAACCATCAACACCTACAGACAGACGAACAATCAAATCAAATGGGCAAAACATCACAAACAACAGACAAACGAACAATCAAATATCACGGACAAACAACAAAAACTACAGACAGACCAACAATCAGAAGACACGGACAAAAAAAACAAAAACTACAGACAGACGAACAATCAAATCTCACGGACAAACCATCAACACCTACAGACAGATGAACAATCAAAGCACACGGACAAACTATCAACACCTATAGACAGACGAACAATCAAATCACACAAACAAAACATCACAAACTACAGACAAACAAACAATAAAATATCACGGACAAACAACAAAAACTACAGACAGACGAACAATGAAATCTCACGGACAAACCATCAACACCTACAGAAACTACAGACAGACGAACAATCAAATCTCACGGACAAACCATCAACAGCTACTGACAGATGAACAATCAAAGCACACGGACAAATAACAAAAACTACAGACAGACGAACAATCAAATCATACGGACAAAACATTCAAAACCCACACACAGACGAACAAGTAAAGCACACGGACAAACAACAAAAACTACAGACAGACGAACAATCAAATCATACGGACAAACCATCAAAACCTACAGACAGACGAACAAGTAAAGCACACGGACAAACCATCAACACCTACAGACAGACGAACAATCAAATCTCACGGACAAACCATCAACACCTACAGACAGAGGAACAATCAAATCTCACGGACAAACAAAAAAACCTATAGACAGACGAACAATCAAAGCACACGGACAAACCATCAAAACCTACAGACAGACGAAAAATCAAAGCACATGGACAAACCACAAAAACTACAGACAGACGAACAATCAAAGCACACGGACAAACCATGAAAACCTACAGACAGACGAACAATCAAATCACACGGACAAACCACAAAACCTACAGACAGACGAACAATCAAATCTCAAGGACAAAACATCAACATCTACAGACAGACGAACAATCAAAGCACACGGACAAACCATCAAAACCTACAGACAGACGAACAATCAAAGCACACGGACAAACCACAAAAAGAACAAAACAAAATGACGAACCATCAAATCAAAATCTACGAACAAATTGACGAATAATAAAAAAAAAACTGACGAACCATGAAACTACAAAATAAAACGACGAACCATTAATCAAAACTTCCAATAGACGAGCAACCAAATGACAAAATAGACCCACTGACGAACCACAACCGTGCACGATCAAACAAACAAGAAAATGAGTCTAAAACAAAGGTGTACAAAGAATATTATTCAGTCATTTTATCACAGATATGTGTATGAGTGTTTAGGAGTCTGTGGATACCGGGTTTTCCGATTTAGGAGTCCGATAATAGATTTCATAATCCGTGGACAGATTTAGGAGTCTGGAGATAAATTTAAGAAACTGTAGATACATTTAGGAGTCTGAGGATAGACAGATTTAGGAGTCTGAGGATAGACAGATTTAGGAGTCAAAGGTTAGACAGATTTAGGAGTCAGAAGATAGTGACAGATTTAGGAGTCCGAGGAGAGTGACAGATTGTGGAGTCCGAGGATAGTGACAGATTGTGGAGTCCGAGGAAAGACAGATTTAGGAGTCCGATGTTAGACAGATTTAGGAGTCAGAAGATAGTGACAAATTTAGGAGTCCGAGGTTAGACAGATTTAGGAGTCAGAAGATAGTGACAGATTTAGGAGTCCGAGGTTAGACAGATTTAGGAGTCAGAAGATAGTGACAGATTTAGGAGTCCGAGGAAAGACAGATTTAGGAGTCATAGGATAGTGACAGATTTAGGAGTGCGAGGTTAGACAGATTTAGGAGTCCGAGGAAAGACAGATTTAGGAGTCAGAAGATAGTGACAGATTTAGGAGTCCGAGGTTAGACAGATTTAGGAGTCAGAAGATAGTGACAGATTGTGGAGTGCGAGGAAAGACAGATTTAGGAGTCCGAGGTTAGACAGATTTAGGAGTCATAGGATAGTGACAGATTGTGGAGTCCGAGGAAAGACAGATTGTGGAGTCCGAGGAAAGACAGATTTAGGAGTCATAGGATAGTGACAGATTTAGGAGTCCGAGGTTAGACAGATTTAGGAGTCAGAAGATAGTGACAGATTTAGGAGTCCGAGGTTAGACAGATTTAGGAGTCAGAAGATAGTGACAGATTTAGGAGTCCGAGGTTAGACAGATTTAGGAGTCAGAAGATAGTGACAGATTTAGGAGTCCGAGGTTAGACAGATTTAGGAGTCAGAAGATAGTGACAGATTTAGGAGTCCGAGGTTAGACAGATTTAGGAGTCAGAAGATAGTGACAGATTTAGGAGTCCGAGGAGAGTGACAGATTGTGGAGTCCGAGGATAGTGACAGATTGTGGAGTCCGAGGAAAGACAGATTTAGGAGTCCGAGGTTAGACAGATTTAGGAGTCAGAAGATAGTGACAGATTTAGGAGTCCGAGGAGAGTGACAGATTGTGGAGTCCGAGGATAGTGACAGATTGTGGAGTCCGAGGAAAGACAGATTTAGGAGTCCGATGTTAGACAGATTTAGGAGTCAGAAGATAGTGACAGATTTAGGAGTCCGAGGTTAGACAGATTTAGGAGTCAGAAGATAGTGACAGATTTAGGAGTCCGAGGTTAGACAGATTTAGGAGTCAGAAGATAGTGACAGATTTAGGAGTCCGAGGTTAGACAGATTTAGGAGTCAGAAGATAGTGACAGATTTAGGAGTCCGAGGTTAGACAGATTTAGGAGTCAGAAGATAGTGACAGATTTAGGAGTCCGAGGTTAGACAGATTTAGGAGTCAGAAGATAGTGACAGATTGTGGAGTCCGAGGAAAGACAGATTTAGGAGTCATAGGATAGTGACAGATTTAGGAGTCCGAGGTTAGACAGATTTAGGAGTCCGAGGATAGTGACAGATTGTGGAGTGCGAGGAAAGACAGATTTAGGAGTCCGAGGTTAGACAGATTTAGGAGTCAGAAGATAGTGACAGATTTAGGAGTCCGAGGTTAGACAGATTTAGGAGTCAGAAGATAGTGACAGATTTAGGAGTCCGAGGTTAGACAGATTTAGGAGTCAGAAGATAGTGACAGATTTAGGAGTCCGAGGTTAGACAGATTTAGGAGTCAGAAGATAGTGACAGATTTAGGAGTCCGAGGTTAGACAGATTTAGGAGTCAGAAGATAGTGACAGATTTAGGAGTCCGAGGTTAGACAGATTTAGGAGTCAGAAGATAGTGACAGATTTAGGAGTCCGAGGTTAGAAAGATTTAGGAGTCAGAAGATAGTGACAGATTGTGGAGTCCGAGGAAAGACAGATTTAGAAGTCATAGGATAGTGACAGATTTAGGAGTCCGAGGTTAGACAGATATAGGAGTCCGAGGATAGTGACAGATTGTGTGGTGCGAGGAAAGACAGATGTAGGAGTCCGAGGTTAGACAGATTTAGGAGTCAGAAGATAGTGACTGATTTAGGAGTCCGAGGTTAGACAGATACAGATTCAGGAGTCAGAAGATAGTGACAGATGTAGGAGTCCGAGGTTAGACAGATTTAGGAGTACGAAGATTGTGACAGATTTAGGAGTCCGAGGTTCGACAGATTTAGGAGTCAGAAGATAGTGACAGATTTAGGAGTCCGAGGATAGACAGATTTAGGAGAGACAGATTTAGGAGTCCGAGGAAAGAAAAATTTAGGAGTCCGAGGAAAGACAAATTTAGGAGTCCGAGGAAAGACAAATTTAGGAGTCAGAAGATAGTGACAGATTTAGGAGTCCGAGGTTAGACAGATTTAGGAGTTCGAGGAAAGACAGATTTAGGAGTCCGAGGATAGACAGATTTAGGAGTCCGAGGAAAGACAAATTTAGGAGTCCGAGGAAAGACAAATTTAGGAGTCAGAAGATAGTGACAGATTTAGGAGTCCGAGGTTAGACAGATTTAGGAGTCAGAAGATAGTGACAGATTTAGGAGTCCGAGGTTAGACAGATTTAG